AGCCTTTTTGTTTATTTATCGATGATGTTACGAAGACGTTCTCATAACTATTCGTGCTAAGCCCTCTGAATGCAGGCAGCAGTATCACCTATCAAATGACCGCAATTCACATTTTATAAATACGCCCATTAACCATTCGACATTTTATTTCAGGATTTAAAAACAAAGACATATAAAAGAACAACCGTAAAGAGCAAAAAAAAAAAAAAAACGATAAGAGCATTTTTATTAGTCCATAAGAGTTTTTCACATTTGTTGTGAATATAATGCAATTAAATGAAATATTACACCAAAGAAAAAAACTTCTTGTTGATCGTTGGCAAGTTGATAATTTTAAAGGTTTTTCCCAAACAAACAATTAATATGAAAAAAATACAGCCGAATAAGCGGGGTGTCATCGACGCCCATGGACATTTGCAACACTAGAGGAACAACTGATGCGTGACCGGTCTTTAAGAAAAAGGTACGCTTGTTTCCTTTGACTTCAGTTGTGTTTCGAAACACCCTACTATAGGTACCTATAAAAATTAAAGTCAAAATATTATTTTGACTTATGTTTAGTATTCAACAGTTTACGTAAATTAAGGTTAGTCTACATAATATATTTGATAATCCCAAGTGTTTAACGAAGTAAATCGTATTAACTTAAACACCAAATGACTTACAATGTAGGTAACTTAAATTTCAATCATACTAAGAAACCATAAAAGGATAAGTCAATACCGTGTCGAAAAAACAAGGTGGTTTCCATTTTAAAGTCGGGTAATGGAATATGAGCTGTTTGTAATCAACAACACAAGAAATCAATAATTTGAACTGATTAGTTTGAATATATATTACGTATGTTTTCGAACGGTAGTACAAACGTATGTAGTCGGAACAGTAGTTCAAAAGTAGAGTTGGCGTAGGCATGGAATACTTCTGATAAACCTTCAATAAACAGAATAACAATCACTTTTATATAAAAACCAAAATTTATTTTATTTGAATTTCAAAGTAGAGGAAATTGGACATCTGTGAATCATTATTTTTAGATTGTAACTACGAATTCTGCGTCAGCGTCATGATATCTAGTTTGGAATCTGGAGCGATTCATAGCGGTCACGCTCGCGTTAAACTTTCTTTCTGATTTTAATTTACATTTATTCAATTAAAACAACCACTAACATAATATTATTACTAATTAAACATGATTTTTAAATGTTGCTTGGTTTATTTAATTTGTTAATAAATACTCAACAAGCAAATTAGCCGTAGATCTCTAGAACTATCAAATTTTATTTCTTACTAATATTATAAAAGTGAATGTTTGGATGTTTGTTAGAAGGCACCTCCAGAACGGCTGCATAGATCTCGCTGAAATTAAGCATAGATCTAGAGCCATGAAGAACACATAGGCTAATAATTAAGATTTTTTTTTATTTCCGCACTGAGTCGAGAGTAAACGTTAGCTATCAAATATATTTTTATTAACATTTTTGTAGAATCTCGGTCACGGACAACATAATATTTATCGGAATCAAAGGGAACAAATCCGGCGAACATAGGAACAGGGCAAAGGAAACCAATCGGCGAGCAAATGAAAACGCTGTTTGCACAGGATGGAAAATTCTCTGCGATATTTCTAACAATAAGAGGGCTGCAATCGCAACGTACGTCTCATCTTACACAAAACAAAGAAACTAATACACGATACGAATATAAAAAGAAAATATTTGTATTGACCAAGTCCACAGAGACAAGTAAAAATGAAAATAAATCTCTCCGTTTTCATCCCTCTGTTTAGGTCCAGTGCACCCGGCTTTCGTGTTCGAGATTATTCGACATGTCAGTCAACATCTCCTTTTAAATCATGTCAAATTCATGCCATCCACATTTAAAAAAAAAAACGAAAAAGTAAAACGAAAACATCCCTCCACTGCATGTGCGTCAGAAAAAACAAATAGCAAAGGATAATTTGCGATTTACCAGTATCCAGATAAGATTCGTACGGTTATCCGTACAAAATAAAAAAAACACAGTAACAGAAGACTTTAGTTATTCATCTCTTTATATGTCAATAATAAGTTCAGTATAATTTGTAGATTGTATGCAATTTGCGATTCTAACATACATTTATCTTGTTGAATCATGAGTTCAGGTACACGAGATATCAGATGTCCTACACAACCGAATGACTCACATGATAAAAAAAAATATAATCACAAAAACTACCACTCAGACATAATCAAGAAACATCCTCAAAGTTAAACACTGTAAAGGTTAGAATTTTTTTCTACTTATAGACAGTGATCTCTCACGGTACGTCCTTTATTAATATAGCTAGCTGTCGTCCGCGACCATCCGTGCGGTATATAAAGCTTAATTAGTAGCCTATATGTTTTTCTATGTTCCGCATCTGTGCCAAATTTCGTTGAGATCATTGGAGCATTGAGAGTTTTGGAGATACCTTCTCACAAACATCCATATATCCATCGAAATTTTTACATTTCTAATATTATTAAGACAACTATTTAACAAAATACTTAAACTCCGATTCAGGTAGACGTTATATGCAATGTTAAAAGTATGAAAGAATAAAAAAATCAACGATTTATGTTATACGATTATAGTTATTTCCATATAACGTGCAGACTACGTAGTTTAGGAATGGAGAGCAAGTTTTATATTGTGATAAACATTTTCGCGCATGATTACACAGACTAATGGGCGATGCGAGAATTTATCCACAATATGCCGACAGCGACGTGTAACGAAAGAAATACACTTTGTTGCATTGAAAAGTTCGTTCGGACTTGGATCAATTTAAAACGTTAAAATAATTTAAATTTTCATTAACTTAAATATTCAAATTGGCTGCATATATAAACAAAATCACAAGTAGGTTGCAATATTCAGGAATCTGCTATTGTAACGCACAACAGCGGCATGTTAAACGGTTAACGGATCTAATTCGGTTATTAAAATAATCTACTGAATGTTTTGCACCACTATAATGAACTCTATTTAAAACAGACAGTTATTTCGCGAGTCATCGTACAATATCGAAAGATATTTAGGTCGAATATGAAGACCTAATTGGTTCTCTTATTTATGAGGCATCGCGTTTAAGCACTTACGACGAACGATGACGCCAGACGGACTATATGCTTCAAATAATTTAGGCTAAATAACCTTGTCTCTTTACAGGCGTTAAAATATTATGAGGAACAGTGACAAAGGTAGACAAAACTAGATTTATACCAAGTTTTTCGTCCGTGATTTCATTAGTGACAATTGTTTTGTAATAAATTTTTGCTCATTACACCAATCAGTACGATTGCAAACGAAAAAGTTAACCAATTTCCTATAATTGAAAAGATCGAAATAAATAAATCCAATTTAATAAATGTAAATGGACTAAAACACTGAAATCATCGACAGTCGATGGCGCGTAGTCGCGTGCCGATTTTTTTTTCTAAACCACTTTACCAGCACTGACCCGTATTAAGTTTTTTCCTCGACTTTCTAGTCATTTTATACTTGATTCAACTTTTCCCTTTAGTTGTATGAAAATGTTAGGCTTTATAAAGTTTTGATTATCAAAGTCCAATGGTGTATGGATAAATGTAAACCATAAATTATAGATTTGCTTATTAAAACTGGCAAACTTGTCAATTAATATAAAGGAAGAAAGCTGAATAAGTTAAGTAATCAGGTATAGTTGTCAATGATTAGGTTATGGTCAGTAAAATATAGATTATAGATACCAAACTAATTTAAATCAAACAATCAATAGGAATTGTAATAGATTTGTATATTTATATGGTATCTTAATATAATTGTATAGTAGATTAAAATGGATTTAAATGCAGATTAAAATAAATGCAACTCCATCTAATTTTATATTTGTAAAATTGAGACATTCCAGATTTTTCTTTCCTCGTTACCAAAAAATATACATATAAAATTAGTCTCGTATTTGTAATATTCCATCAACGATTGAAAGATCTTCCTTTTAACCAATGTATGTTTTTTAAAGAGAAAATAGTATTAAATAAGTGATTCAGTCGATATTAAGTGACCAATAACAATAAACTAATGAACTATTGAACTATCAGAGAATCTGCAATATGTTATACCAATACCAACATCCATAAAGTCTTAGTTCCTTTTGATTTCCTTTTTAATAAACATGAACCACTTATGCATTACCTTTTAATAAGATATATTAAGCTAATGGAATAAGGTCAACGTTTACAACTCAATGTAAACAACTGGACAACATTGCCAAATTGGATAAGGATATCCATTCATAGTATGATTAATTATTAACAACTATATGATGAATGATAATACTTTAATAGTAATAACTTCATAGCAAAATGACTGTCCGAGGTTGAAGAACTAAAGAAATTCAAAGTTATAACTAGACTTAATAATCCAAAGTTATATTTTCATAGACATGTCATTAACAAATAAAACCACTGACAAAACCAAACTATCAAAGTTTAAAAACATATGATTGTTGCATATATTACGATTCAATTTACACCAATCCTGAATAGTCAAACAAAGGACATAGTTTATTGCACAAACTAATTAGATAAATTGGAGTCAATTATGATTCAAGTTTGTTGTCATATTTTATAAATAATGTCAGACGCAGAAGTGATTTAATAATGACTTCATCTTAGATATGGCAATTGTTGGAATAAGAACAGTAAAAAAATAACTTGGACATCTATAACTAATGTTGGAGTATATTAGACATGGATTACCAAACGCATACACTGTCCAAGCTGATCATATTTATTGAGTATGTTTCTTATAGAAAAAAAATTATGAAATTAAATGATTTTTGTAAGAGAAAATAAATGTTCATTTTATATATACATAGATCTTACACACCTAGAGCTAAATTACGTTTTATTTATACACTTTGTAAAATATGAAACATCGTTGTATCGTAACAGTGGCGAATTTTTATAGGAAATTTATGAAGGATGAAGATGCCTTACCTCACCGCTGCGAGCCGCTGGGGAGTTTTCTTCAATTTGGTAAATAATGTGTGGCAAACCGGCTTCGCCGAGCAAAGAAAATCCGAATCCTAAGTTGTCACTACGATTCAGGACCACTAGTCTTTCGTCAGCCATATTCAGTGTGAAGCAGCATTGGTCACCACCTTCATCAGGATTTCACTGGTATCACTTACAAACACTTCATAAAAGAATACAGCAACGAATATTACTTAACAAATTGAATGAAATAAATCACAACTACAAAGTACGACAAGCAAGCGCACCCAGCCAAAGCGGACGACAGGCACAGATTATTTATGAAATATAAATAAAATGTAAAAATATAAAGGTGAGCGTACACTGACATATAAAATTACCACAAAAATAAAAAGCAAAAATCAATAATAACTGATATGCATAAATTACAGTACAAACCTTAGTTTAACGAATTATTACATAGCAGAACTGCCTAGCTATTCCCGACGAAAATGGAAGATTGGAAAACAGTTAAACTGATCTTTTCTTCGCATTTTCATTTATTACAGAGCCATATTCTACTGCAATATTGTGTAAATATTAAGGTGTAAAAAACAGGTCAAATGTTTACAAAATCCACCATCATCGCTCATTAAAAGTTGTTGTACTAAACAATTTCTAATTTGCGTTGAATTGAACTGTTTTCGTATTGTCATTATGTTATGGAGTGTCCGTGACAGTGGCAGCGACAGCTGACAGCACAGCAATTTTTGACAGTTTCACAGTTGAGTGAGATAAGCTTATTCTCAGAAGTAAAATTATCGGTTAGAGGTAATTTGTAATTGTGTTGTTAGAACGTACGATAGGGTTGTGTAATAACTGTCTTACTTAATAGAAGAAATATAATTACAAGATCAAGATGTATTTCGTTTCTAATGTAATTAAGGTTACCATTCCTAATTATTTGGCTAGTTTGCCAATACCTGATTCTTTTGGAGGATGGTTTAGGCTCGGAGGTAAGTTTAAATTAATTCACCAAAGAGTTTTTGGTAGAGTTAAAATATATATTTAATTTAACAAACATTCTAATGTTGACGTTATATATAATGTCCTTGATATTTTTTATCGTGTGAGTTATAGACACTTAGTTTCGAGATATTTTTTCCTTATTGTATTAACCTCAACTTAAATACTTACACTAGTATGTCCGGCTCAGATTTAGTATTCAAGAGCCACTATTTCAAGTTGACTTTCCTGAATATCATAAGATTCATAATATTTTTAATAAGATTAAGATTTCCTGGGGAGAAAGTAATACTATACACTAAATGATAATTTTGAAGCTTTTTAACATTCATCTTCACTTTATTTAAAAGCTTCTTTTACTTCTGTTAGGATAATATTTTATTAATAGATTTATTAAGATGCAGTAGAAAAAGTAGGCCAATGCATTTTTGAGTCAATCACAGTGTCTATATTCATGACATAAAATGAATTATTTATCACATGCAACAATCACATGTCAAGGACTTTTAGTACTGTTTCATAATATCATTTTATGAACCTAGTTTGACAATTTTATTTTAGAATGCCAACAACAAACAAACATTTTATTTTAGCTATCACTTACTTCTTTCAGCTACATCACTAACTTAATTCATGTCTGTTTGGTCTAGCTGGTTTCTGCATTTGAACTTCCTATTCTTACTAATATTATAAATGTGAATGTTTGTATTAAGGTATCTTCAGAACAGCTTCATGAATCTTGAAATTTAGCATAGATGTAGAATGCAGCTTGCCTTCAATAAACAATAGTTAATTTTGAACCTTCTAAACATTATAATGAATTATATTTTCAGTTAAAGATTGGCTTGCCTTACTTCCCCCAACTATTGCCGTTGGTGGTATCTCGTACTACTCATATCAGACAATAAAGAAAGCTAAAGAAGCTGGCAATGGTCAAATCAACCCGTGTATCAGAAAGGATATAAATAAAGTGGTTGATTTCGTTGACATTGAGGATATAACAGAAAAGGTGTCTTTATGCAGATGCTGGAGGAGTAAAAATGTAAGTTTTTATTTGTATGACGTATAATAAAAAGCAATAAATAAGTTTTGGTGCTCAAATGGTGGTTGCACTATATAACCTTTTTGGGGCTATTTATTTTTCTTCAAAAATGTTACATACGAAATTTCATATAATTCCAAGTTTTATAGGTTTTGTTATTTATCTGATTGCCATATGATAGCATATCTTAAGTTTAAACAAACAACAATCTCTCTACATTGTTATCTTGGTGACATATTTTAGTATTATTATTTAATGCCATAAGGAAAATACTGTTATTTCTGCTTGAGAATAGGTTCAATATAAACCAGTCATCAAATTTAATATTTATCTACTAATTTTGGGTTAAAAATGATATGTTTAAAAAATCATGATATATTTAAAAAATTGTATTTGTAAAATTACAAAATGTAATGAACAAAGTAAAGCATACATAAATATTGATAATTTCAGTGGCCGTATTGTGACGGTGCTCATGGACCACATAACAAAGCAACTGGTGACAACACCGGTCCAGTTGTAGTGAGGCACAAGGAAAACAAGTAATATAGTTCAATAGAGACCTGTGTTGATCAATCAATTCACCCGACCCATTGGCATGGAGAAACAAAATCAAAAGACCCAATCACATCTATTGGCTCTGCAAGTCATGTTACGGGATGCTGGCTGCGTGAACGTAATCGAGTCTGGGTAATAATGGGACGCTGGCACTGATATCTATAAATGGATATGCAATTGTTTGGAAATTACAGCTTTTCTTTCATTCCAAATTAAATGCGCCTGTTAATGTTTTGTAACAGTTAATTCTATCTATATTTTTAGTATGAATCCACATTTCTACAAACCGCTCCCATCAGCGCCAAAATGGTGAAAATCAAATAGGCACAAAATAGTACATCTTATAGCCAGTCTATTTATAGTTGTCAGTGGTTGTTATCGAGATCTATGACCTGAAGATTTAATCGAAGTGTTGTGATCGACACAAGTCTTCCAAATACATACATGATAAACAGAAAGTGATACAAAAGTGATAAACATGGCACACTTGACACTCTTTGATAAGTTTCTTTCCGATAAAAAAAATTGCATTTAGTGTATATATTTTCATTTTACCGTTCAAATTTGTTACATTTTTAATATTTATCTATAAAAAATGTATTTAAAAGTGTCTCGTGTGCACATAACTTAAGTATAAATTGTTACAAACAAATCGTGTTACAGTAAAGTATGAACAAAATAAACTTAATTTATAAGTGAATTAATTGTTTTTACGTTTTCATTAGCTCCTTATTGTATTAGATACATTTTTTGTCACATTTATACAATTTTTATATTAACCTACAATTGTTTGCAGTATTTGTTATGTACTAATGCAATCTAATGTAAAATCTGTTCATAATAAATTATGAAATTTGACTATTTATTTCCTTAAATCGAGAGAAACATACAATTATAGTCAAATCTGGATTAATGAGAAACTTCTATAAACGGCAGTCATTGTCTGATTTTGACATACAACCTCCATAAGCGAGAAACTCGAGTTAGAGAGAAATCTCTATAAGCGAGAAAATATTGGGGTCCCGTAGACTCTCGCCTATCCCGGGGTGGTTTGACAAAGTGCATTAACTACGTAGCGATTTCGTAACTTCAAAAATGTATAAAACTGACAATAACTTTCGATAAGTCACGTGATTGTGCGTCACTTCTTCTTTTGAAGTTCGCTATGGAATCGCTTCAAAGCGAATGCACTTTGTCTAACCTCGCAGGTTTGACTATATAGAAAATATTAGCTTACATTTATCAAATCACAGATATATTTTGATTCTTAAATTACATTTTTATAAATATAAGATTTTTCACTGACTATAATAATGGCACATGGTATGTACATTAACACATGTTCCAAAATAAAGGTAGGCAAGTTTGCAAATGCGAATGTCTATGGGCAGCAAACACTTCGCTGTTTTAGCGATTGCAAGTGGTCGATTGCTCGTTTGCCACCTTATACTATAAATATGTTGCTTTTACCTGTAGCAAATTTATTAAGATTGCGTTCTAAATTTATAAGCCGAAGCAAAATATATTGGCTTTATAATCATATTAATCGAAATTCAGTCTTATAACTTGAGAATTCACAGAAAAATCTTTTATACCTATAGACGTGGTATAAAATCGTCTTAAATTTTTATGCTGAAAACAAAGCTTCTTTGATTATCTTCATTATTTCACAGCTGGAACAAATAAATATGTTCGTTAGTACTACTTTCATTTGATATAAAACAAAACCAATTTAAAAAAATCTTGTAAACCTATGAAAGATATAATATTTTCAGCAAGAATTAGTTTGTACTGGAGGTCATAGCTTTATACATCGATGCACATTGAAAGGTATTTCACAATTTAATTCTTTATTTCGTAATTAAGTCGAACGAGATTACATTTCGTGTTGAATCATGTTCCGCTTGACTGATTATGACAAGCTGTGACTGTCCATTTCTATTGTCTAAACATTCAATAATACTTATTGTCAACCCTCTCTTTTTCCTTAAAAAAGTTGAGACAGCAATATGTTCAAACTATGACTTAGAAAAAAATCTAATAGTAAAGTACAAAGTTTATATGAACTTACTTCAATTCTCGTCTCCGCGATACCCTCTTCATTTCTCAGAAGTTCGTGTTTAAGGCCGTTTCTTTTCCTGAAAATTTCATTAAAATATAAATCAATAAAAGCTACTATATGTAGCAGCCAATCTGAGTGAATCAAAACCAAAAGTTTACCGTTTATTATGAACAAAAGTAAAATTACTACGTTACGAATTTAATGATAAGCTCTTTCGAATTGAAAATTCAATCATCATCAATCTTTCCATCAGCCGCCATATCTTATTTTACTTCATACGCGTATCCTCTTTCACATAATCAATCTATACTTCTATCAGTCTTCTCTACCTTAGTAGCCCTACACATTCAGTCTCATTACTTTCTTATTTACATGGTCATCATGCATTTATTTGGCTTTTAACGTCCCGGTCAATAGCACCGTTGCATTGGATGAGAAATATGGTACTAAAAAAGTTTGAAAGTTAAATGTTAAGCAAATATTTTCCATTAATTGTCTACTTCGATTGAGTTATAAGACATCACAACAAAAACGTTAATATAAAATATTACAACAATTTTTTCAACCGTAAACAAACTTTATTGTTAACTTGTTACACCTTCATGATAATGTAGTCATTTTTTACTTTCCCTATCATGTCCAACCTATCAAACATCAATAAACCTTTCCTTGGCTATTGTAAGTTATTCTTTTTTAACATTTTACGGCGCAGTTTCCGTCCCACACGGGCGCTTCCTACGCAGCGGTGGGCACTGGGAAGATGCGGTATTAAGTTACCCCACACAATGCTCTGATCACATTACCCGAGAAGCCACAAATAAAGCCAGCGTGAACCGACTCGTTTTGATATGGAAACCTTACTTTGAATAGACAAGAAATTTATATGTCATGTAATGTAAACACTGGTTGTAAGCTCCAATGGAATTGCTTAATTTCACGCTGTGTTCCGTAAAATATGTATATTTGATTGTGATGGAAATTTTATGCGTATACTGGAAAGTGGATTCAATATTTATTTATATAATCTAAGGAAACAGAGACACTTAACCTTCGCTAAGTACGTACTGGACTTAGATCTCAGGAGAATGTCATTCATGGTCAGAAGTAAAATGTCGCTATCGCGTATCTTTTTATTTTAGACATGAAAATCTGATCTTTATAAAATAGCTAGCGGTCGCCAGCGTCTTAATAAATAAATTGGTAGACTTTGTGTTCTCCCAGACTATGTCTATATGTATGCCGAATTTCTTTAAGATCCGTTCAGCCGTTTTGGAGATACCTACAAACAAACATCCATACATCCATCTATGTAAACATTCGCTTTTATTATATAAGATTAGTAAGATAAAATTGTTTATCAAATCATTAACATAAAAAAGCTTGGTTGTTACAGCAATATTACTATATACTTATGTAAATACATTAATTATATACTAAGTATATTTTCACTATACATCTATGGGTACGTCATTCTTGGCAAGAATATACTGCAGCTATAAAATTTAATAGACAAAACAACATTGTTTCATATATGTATATACGTACATATATAGTCTCCTCCAGACGACGAGTGATGTGTAGGCGAGACAGACGATGGAGCAGGTGACCACCACCATTATACCCGCAGCTGCGCCTATAGGCTCGCCCCGCGGACCTGCGTACCGTAATCTTTGTGAGTCCCTAAGAACTGTTTCACCCGGAACTATAAACATAAAATTGTTAATTTTATTACGTGTTAGTTGATGTTAAAACATAAAAGAATAAACTTTAAATCTAACTGGATTCCTAGACGATAGAAATGAAAGTTTTAGTAAAACGTCTTCTTAGTATTGATCTTGCCGATTAGAAAATCATATTATGTTCAAATGCGTCGCTTACAAAGTTAGAATGCCTTCTTGTTTGTTTATTTGTGTCTCGCTTTAAATCAAGTAAGAAAGCAGTCGTAAAATGTTGATTTACCGTCGACCATTCGACAGTTACGATCGGGGTATATTTGCGAACTTAAAATAGTTAACGAACGTGTTAGTAAAGTTAACACTGCGTTATTTATTACTGACAACGTCGTTAGTAACAAATATATTCACAAAGAAGTTATTATTATCTTTCAGTCAGTCTTTTTTAGATTTCGACTGCCAAAGCACTCGTACATCTATGTAACGAGAGCTGTAACAATACATATTAATTTGCTTCAGTGTAATGGAAACCGACTGTAAGGTAGACAATCCGTATCCTTGTTTGTTATCATCATCAGCTCACTATACTTCCCTACTGAGGGTCTGAAAGCCTACCATAAGTTAAGTGTGACTAGGCCATAGTCAACCACTCTGGCCCAGTGCGGTTTGGTTAACTTCACACATATCTTTAAATGTCTTCTTAGATATGTGCACGTTTCGCGATGTTTTACTTCATAGTAAGAACGTCGGATATATGTACATATGTATGTAAATTGAAAATCGAAAAACACATTTGTACATTGCGAGATTCGGACCCAAGACCTACAGATTACAAGTCAAGGGCTTAACCCCTGAGCCACCGACGCTCACGGCATTGCTAACGAATGTAAGTAGGATTTACCGATGAGTTTCATTGAGATGATAAAGCGGTGCCGCTTGTTTTGTATTCAAAGTTTGTATCCAGCACATGATATTAGCAGAGTGTATGCATTTAATGTCACTATACGTAAGATTAGAACATATGGAAATCTAATGACGTGCTTGAATACAAGAGAAGTCTAATATAAACATGATCTGAATAATATTTCATGCCTTCGCAAGATTATTTGCTGAGATATAGATGAAACAAATGAACATCAAAACAAATGCTTTTTTTTCAAACAAATTCAATTTTTGATAAAAAAAAGTCGGAAAATGAGGTGGCTAGAATTTGATACAAATGTTCTTCGGAATTGGATAAGTCTGGCTATACTACGCCTAGAAGTTATGTTTTCCTGGTAAATACAGACCTTGTAAGAACTCAGCCTCGGCGTCCGGTATGCCTGTGACGTCGACGTGGACGTCCTCCATGTCCTCGGGGAAGGTCGGCAGGTCTATGTGCTCCTGGTTGTCGTCACGCGAATGAAGCATATCGAATACCTCGGAACTGGTGATAAATTTATAGAAATTGGCATATACTTCGACAAGGTATGCTCAACATAGTTTAGAAATAGAGAGATATTAGACTGACAACAGTGATTGCTTTGTAAAAGGCAAGTGGTTTACTGTTAATCTATTAGTTTTATAACCTTTTAAGCGAAGATTATAAAATCATTATAATTTAAGTCAGTAACCTACTATTTAAGTTTTAATACGTATAAATTGATAAATACCTGACCTGGTTAGATAGAACACTATGCTACAACTTTGTCGCTTTTAAAATTCAAACGGAAACTCTAACATATGCATCCATTGATTAAACTGAATTACACGAACATGGTGATTATGTTAACTACGCGCTATCTTTTAACATCTATAATTTTAAATTAATTATCATTTCAAAGAATCAAGTTCAATGCCGGCAAGCAAGTGACGGCATAAATTAATTCATGTGAAGGAAAGATTTCTCATAAAATAACCGGTCACATTACACAAAGTACGAAAGCTACATGTTTTTATCTCAATGTACATTGCAAGACATCTAATATGTTATTTATTATGATAAAGTGAACATCTGCTTATGTGGTAACTTGATATAATTACCTATGACTTGTATTTTAATTACTTTTATTAAATCAGTACGTTTACAGCCGTCTTACAATTTTTTTTCAAATAACAAATAGCTCGTAATAATTATGCCAAATTGATTCTTTTATAGTTTTAATTCTTTTGTAGTTCTCTAGATTTAATAATAAGTATTATCGTATTTTACCTGCTCACGCCATCTTTATCATCGACTAATAATTTTAAAAGTGTAGCATTGGCTTCCAGTGTTTTATATCTGCTGTTATCTTCAACTTCTTTTGTTAAGCTCGATACTGTTGTGTCTGGTAACGGATGCTGGCTGGAAGTGATCTGGAAACCTGTAGTACAAAGAATAATTGTTAATTTAATACAACTATGAGGTGTAATTAGGAGTGCCTGGTCGCCACACCTAATAGCCGGACATTCCAGACATTTGGGTAGAAAGGCCAGCCAACCAACATGCGACCGTCAGCCGACTCGAAATGTAAAAAGTCTAACAAACACAAACAGGACAACCCGGGCATCGTTTATTTTGGCCGGACACGCAATCAAAAAGCTTAGATATGTCCGGCTTTACCCGGACCCCTGGCACAAGGGTAGAACAGTGAGGCAGAGCAATTTATCGTGCAGCACTACTATGGAACGCACACTCGGTGTACCTAAGTCTTCTTTTGCCGCACTAGCCTCGTGTAGGCATTACGTATTTACGTAATGTTATGAGTGGACTATTGTTAAACATAACGAGCGCTTGGACACGTGGAGTATCACTTAGCTTATCCAAAATAAACATTTCCAACCAACCGAAGATTTCACTTGGCCCAGACGCAATGTAAATATTTGTTTAACGGACCTTAAAACGCGGTTATATCCAGTTTTATGCATTAAAATTTTGAACAAGAAAAGAGGTCAGGAATTTTATTATTCAGAAAGGTATATGTAAGGTATGTAAAGGTCAATTTCGACGACAAGCATAAGACAATGCGTCGTCTTATGCTTATTTTTATGCATTATAGGATCTTTTTGGCAATTGATATTGTCCTTCAATAGGGATACAGTAAGAGCTGATATTTATTTTATCATCTTAATCTAGAAAAGAACGTAACTTTAGAGAAAAAATATACAAAAAAAATATTATTTCTCGTCAAGATTCTTGTCATTTTTATTTTTTTAGGAAGCAATTTAAAACACTTTTATTTTAGACAGGGAAATTAAGCCAAACACAATGTTAAATTTTATCTATAACTATAAATGTAAAATATTAAAAATCTTTAAGGCGTCTATCGTACTACATACTTCATACTGAAAATAGGTACTTGAGATATTTAATAAAAACATTTTAAAATAACGTTAGTATTTTACAATAAACGTAATATTTAAATGACCGTGCACATTGTTTACGATTGGTAGTAAACATTTTGAAGTGTCGTGGATTCAACGAATAACATAATAAATAACGGTTCCCGTTGATTCAGCACTTTAAGGTTATCCGCGGTATTCCGTTAACCTAAAAATTCAAAGTGAAAGTGTTTATACATTAATTGAACACACGTTTTTTGCTTGCTTTCTTTGTGCATTGATATGAAATACTTTGCATTCGTAATAAAAAATGGCGTTGGAATACTGTTAAGTTGCATTCATGTGATTGATGGTAACCCGGTCAAGACAAACTCGCTGTAAAATTACATGTAAATTTTTTATTATACTACTAGCGCTCGCCCACGACTTCGTCTTCTTCCAGACTATGATCAATATGTATGCCAAATTTCATGGAGGTCGGGAGATGAATTCAAACAATCATCCATCCATCATTCAAAGTAAGATTAACCCATTAGTGCATAAAATTTATTAACGCCTTTTTCATCATGATCACTGTAATATATTTTCATTTCGAGTGTATTTGACCATTAAATTGTATAAAATATTTAATCAATATGAAAGTTTAGATTTTATAGCCGTCCGATAAATCGCTTCCCGGAATGTCATACCAACAGTATTACTACTTCAAATATATATTACACTACTGTTTAAAAAAATAAACAGTTAGTAAAATATATATAACTCCTAAAATAACAATTTTATTGGCGTCCGATTTATCAAACGTTATGCACTAATGGGTTAAAAACGTAAAAATTAATCAATAGTGTTTCGTCTAATACTATTTGATGTAAGCCAAAGCCAACATCTTGTTAAAGGTCAGAAACAGAATTTCATATTTCTGTTGTCGACATTTGATTTTAAGTCAGAAAATATGATGGTGTAAAATTCATTGCTATGACGCCAAGCACTACTTTACAGTTTTTTACTTTACTAACTTTACAGTTACATGTTAGTAAGTGATGGGACTTGAATGCAATAACTCAAGCGTTATCTTATTGTTAATGTAGACTCTCATTATTCCGTCAAGAGGCCATTTCCGTTCGTTATCAGTGACCAGACGTTGAGTTATTTACTACTTTGTACTGATATTGTCAACATTCGAACAATATTATTGTTGAAGATTTCAAACAATAATACTAAACATTCCAAGATGGAAAATTAAATAGATTTTCACCATTTCTACGGCGAACCTATAGTAATTTCGTCTTTCAATGTATTTTCCATCGATGTATTATTACGGTGGTTAAAGCAAATACGTATAAGTAGTGTAGTTTAATTGGATTAGAGTAATATCGACTTTCTATTGCGTGAAAATAAGTTGTATATTCCTATAACAAGCCATATGACCAGTTGTGGATCTAGAAAGTTAACTATATTAATTGCCCTCTGTTCCAAACCTTATTATCGCTTTTAGAAGTTAATAACTGTTTATAAAATCTATTTTCTAGATTGATTCATACCCTTTGTTGAAGTATAAATGTACAAGCAATTAGATTTTAATATTTATAAGTAAAAAAGAGCGATGTAGTTTTTTGTTTTTATACCACGAGTTTATTGCTCCTTGTTCCCCAGCTGCCGGAAACGAATTGAATCCAGTCGCGGTGCACTGTACAAGATTAACTTTGTTACTGGACTTGATTTATTCTATCTATACATATTAATAACATTGGAGTGTCTGTATGTAATATAAAAAATCGTACCCATGATTTATTTGCGTAGGTGATAACACCAAATCAATTTTTATTTTTGTTGTCTGTCTTTATGTATGTTTGTCCGAAAACCCGCTGATGCACTCGGGATGCGTATATCTGCCCCGAGAATGTCGCAGGCTACCGTTAGTTTTAAATTGCAATAATTAAAGTAAATCTCAATCTAAAATTTGTCACACAAGGGGTCGCGTCGAGAATCTTCTTTATCCGGGCGTGATTTGGTTTAAGTGCTCTACTATCACCCAACCCAAATAGCTTTAGGGTTACCATTAATTTCGCTTCTTGTAGACAATATTACAAATAAAAGATGTATGTATTTGGTTATCCCAATCCGCAAAATCCTAGAGCTACAGCGGGCCAAATTGTGCCAAATTTCCTGTCATGTTTATTGTTAATTTAGACATTTTGTAGAAAAAAAAATAACCGCTTAGCCTTAGCTAAGCTTATTTAGCTCCATATCCAAAATTCAATTGATATGAATAGCGTGTTTGTTGTTCAAAGTAACTTTCCTAAATTCTATTAACGGAATAGTGTTAAATGATTATTGTTTCAAAACCTCGTTAGCGCGTCGCGTCGTGAGCGGGCACAAAGGTAAGTCCCAAACCTGTTTGGTCCAGCCAGTTGCAAGATGTCGGTACTGAATTACTGCGAGAGTCACCAACAATTGTGCTGTATCCAGTTTTTCCCTAACAAAATCAAAATTATCTGCTGTAGTGCCTTAATCATTAATTAAATGTTCCCTTAAAACTTATGTCTATTTATGTACATGAGTTATCAATTGAAATAGGTAACGATAGTGGAATAAGGGTTGAAGACATGCATTTTGCTTAAAAGATATTACAAAAACCGGTTCGTAGCCGTTTTTTTATAATTACGTTTTTTTGGCTGCACATTTTAGGGTCAAATTTAAAAACCAAAACACGATTTCGCGTCACGAAGTTACCGTATAACTTCTGCAACCCTGGTACATTCACGTTTAAATAAAATCTGTTGTCACGCTTCCAAAGGTATGCTGGTATGAAAGGTCGTTGCAGAGGTAAGTAGGATTTTTATCTTATTCATTGACGGCCATCACATATGAGAAATTATGAATCATCGGGAAAATATAGTCATAAGGTTACAATTACACATGTTTTCTATTCGGACAAAATACAAATTTACAAATGACGTGTTTCTGTTGGTTTAAAAGTTCCTTATTGTTAATATCCTATTACGTTGTTACAGATTTTTGTATTATACTTACTTTTAAATGTATGTTGAAGGAAGTAATTCTGTAATATCGTGACCACTTATTAATTGTTAGTCATTTACGTGACGTCACGTGACGTGTGTTTTTTTTTAAATGAAAGGGCAATAGTAATATAGACACCTGATCCTATAATTTACTTTAAAAAACACATCGATAAAATTCGCGGTTATTAGTTTTAGATTGTTTTTAAAATGTTATTATTCAGTTATATTTATCTAATTTACTACTACGATTTATGGTTGTTGATAGTAACCATTATCTCTGATATCACATGTTTTTCGTTTCGTAAGCGGAAAGATTTTTCAATGAATGAGTCACACATTTGCGTACGTAAAAAGGATTTTTTTCTCAGAATGATCCGTAGAATCGACTACCGCGAACATAATTAAATTGCAATCAGATTGACAAGATGACCCGATATGATTCATCTTTATTTCCTTGGATTACATACACGTATGTATATATTTACTTCCTACAATTTATCATTAATCAAGACATTTGAATGCAGGTATAACTACTGGGAATTGTCATTTGCCTCCCTATATGTATTATATACAATAATTATCTCTTCTGAATTAACAATACTTAATCTTACTAATATTATAAATGCGAATATTTGCATGGATGGATGGATGTTTGTTTCAAGGTATCGTATCTCCAAAACGGCTGCATGAATCTAGTTGAAATTTGGCATTGATGTAGGACATAGTCTGGAAGAACGCAAAGACTATTAACTGTTTTTTAATACCGCGCGTACGGAGTCACGGACGACAGCTAGTCATTAAATATATTGATTAATTTATTGGCAAAGAAATCAGTATCAACACAGCTCTGCTATTCGATCAAAATTCTTGCATTTTAAGACTTTTCATTGGGGATTTCTTTATGTATACGATGCAAGTAGTAACAGTTACTAATGAATTTGTTAATTACGTTCTAAGTATGTGTATTGTCTTGTTGAAGGCGGTGTCGTGAGACATTAATATGTGGGACAGTAGTCATGTGACTTAAAATATTTATGAGGTCAAAATATATATTTTTATTGATATTTGTTAAACTAAAAAGGCGGACACGTGAGCGTTACTTGTATCGCGCTAAATTAAAAAGTTGTGACTTCTATGAATTCCTTTGGGATATTTGCGACGCAATGATCCATGAACAAATCATTGTAACATTTGGTATGAAATAAGCATTACATAACTTATTAGTAAGTAGGAATCTTGACTTTAAATTCTAGACAATCAAATATGGATTTTAAATCACTGAATGAATTGAATGTTGCATCAAAAAAATGTTGCAAAACGTGATATTTAAGCAAGTTAAGTGAACTAGTGAATCCAGCATGACGCACACGTCTCCCGGGGAGTCACGATCTAAACAAGTTTGCTGTGAAGCCGAGAAGTCAATGGATGCAGGCCGCTTAGGGTTGTGCATTTGCAAACTTGTATCAAAAATTGCATTTAAACGCCAACATTATTAGAGTTTCGAAAGAAATTATTTCTTCCTTATAATCGTTTCTCTGATATCGATTTGATAAAGACTTAAAGAGATGGGACATTATCACATAAATGTATTGCTCACGTCACAAGAAACAAGAAATTATAATTTACTGTGTGGTTTAAGTGTATCTTATTATTTTCCTTTTCTTACCGTTGTTTTCTGAGACCAAATTCTCTGTATATATATCGTCTCCTGTCATTATCTTTGACAACAGATATTTTGGTGTCAGAAACCCATGCTTAGGGGTGCTCTTTACACTAAAAAGAGTTTAAACGAGAAAAAATCATCTCACAAATTAAACATAAATCAAGGTTAAAATATTATATTTAATCCTTACCTACGACAGCGACGACGAAATAACACAGCAACTGATACCGCGCCATTATCAATATGAACACTGTAAACAACGAAATAATTATGTATTAAAAAATTGTTTTTAATCAGTTTTCACTACCGCAACTTCTGTACAAAAACATATTGCTATGTTTTTTTTAAGATATTAAGAGTATAATCAATATGTTTTTGTACAGAGAACTGTGAAAACATCGGGTTAATTAGGTATAATTCGTTAGTGCGACCATAGCGATGTTTTATTTTAATTTAGTTAAAAAGAAAAACTTTAATTATTGCAACGGTAAGGACACTGATTAGCTGATAATTAATATTTATTAATGTCCACTGGTTTTGGTCATTATTTACAAATTAATACTGTTAATTTAGTTATTTAATTTAATTATAATAATTATTGTAGTCTTGCAGTATTCATAAAATTATTATTATTATTAGCAAGCAATGATTGAGTTTAGATTATGGGCTGTCGTAATAATAAATAAAAAAAATTAAAAATGTCTTTTGTTATTTTAAATTAATATTAATATATTATTGATAGAAAAATCAATTAATGTAAACACTGGCTTTAGAATAGATAACTATAAAACAAGTTTCGAACCTTGAATAGCAAGATGTGTCTAAAAATACCGGGGCGCGTTTCGGGATGCGGTCGACAACGATCTTCGCACCAACACAAAAGCGCCAAAGTCACTCGATTGCAGATTACACTAGGTTTATTCGCGTATGTAGAGGGCGTGCGGAGCGCGTGATACGTACGTCGCTCTCTGATGCACTCGGTACACTGCCGGCCGGCCTCAGAGAGCCGGTCTTGACCGACCGATATATGACGATTGAAAAACGGTGACCAGTGACCGATGACCGATGACCGGTGACCGATGACTTTCGTAGACCTAGCTAAGTTTGCCGCTGACCTTACGGGTGCAGGAATTTAATGCGTACTACTCATACGGCATTGTACGGGTTTGTCTTCTACACTAATGGAACAATCCATTACATGCCATGACTCATTAAAACCATAATTAAGTTATGATGATGATTAGTGATTGTTTACATAGAAATTTTTAATGTTATAAAGATATCTTCCTACCTTTTGCCTTACGGCGATTCGTCATAGTATGTATTACTCCTCTATGCATCCATATGTGAATCCGCTCCTTTCTTACTTATCCCTCTTTCACACAGTACATTCATACTATATTCGGGCTTCCTATACCTTTGTAGCCATTCACAATCGACTTCTTTCTTTTCGTCTGCATCATCTCTTCACAAATATGTCTCCATTTTTACATAATTCCGGTTTATCTTACAGTGAATATAGTTATTTATAAACTAAGTAATTTGTGAAGTGAATCCTCGACCGTCGATTCCAGTTGATTCCAATGTTTCCTGGATAAATTAATTAATTACGAACTATTTCCAGGTTAGAAGATTTGATTTGACAATCTCAGTTTAGAAACTATACTGTTTCAAGTATTGTCAAACTGATCAGCGCAAAAGTAAGTAGACTTTTAGCTAAATTCGAGTTTCTCGACGAAGCGACCCAAGCATGCTCGAGATTTCCACGCGTGCGCAGTAGCCAATCGTCAACACAAAAAAGTACAGTCGAATATAACAGTGAAAATGAGACAAATAAAACATGAAAATGAACTTGAAATGAACATTATCAAAAGTATTTTTTTTACTTACTAGCATATTGGGAAAGATGACTTATAATTTTGGAATATATGATAGGTAAATAGAAAGAGTACTTTTTGATGTTCCACAAAATAACTTGTCAAGAGGGTAATGTTTTTCGCTTGCATGTAAGTTTGTTTATATGTATGTGGGATTGTTTGTATGTACGTACACATCTATCTCGCATGCTGCACGTTGATTCTGGGTCCTCTTCTTGAGTATTAAAACATATTGTACTCTTGTTTTGTTAAAAAGAATGAAAAGGATGACAATATGCATACAAATGTCCCGGGCATTTGAGACCTAAGGTTACATTGTTGCATAATTCATTTTCTACTAAACTGTACATGCGCAGTAGCTGTCATATTTTTACTTTTGTTGTCTGCTATATTTACTATACATTTTATGATTTTGTTTTATTTAGATGATTTTTCTAGTATTATAAATATAATGAACGAAAATAATATTTGATTTTATTTCATATAACTATGGATGGAGATACAGGAACTGTGCACGGTATACGCAATGTTAGGTATACACTTGAAAATGAGAGGAGGACTTTTAGGGCAATCCATTTCAATCGTAATAAATACAAATATCGAGAGAAGAGACGAAGTCCTGTGAATGAAGCTTATGAAAATAAAGATTATATTACAACGAACGATTGGCCTTTTAAATCTCCAGATTTTGACAGAAAAACAAATATAACATCTAAAGAATACACAAGTAAGCAATTTTATTATTATAGTATAATGTTTACAATAATTGTTTCTCTCTTTCGCCCTTTTCGTTGCTTACAAGGTTACTTGATAAGTAAATCGTAACCAAAATTTTTACTGTAGTATGTTGAGTTAGATGTAAAGAAAGCTAGACATATCTCGCTTTTTCTATATTTATGCAAAATTAACCACATCATTTAGGTACAATCTACGCGTCGGAACAGAATGTAAATTAATGGGTTGCCTCTGTAGGGTATTTATGCCTAGAAAACAAGAAGAAATCTGTTATGTCTAAGTTAAGCCTTTAAATATATTTCAGAATGTTCGCGTTGCAAAAGACGCTTACGAACGACATCAATCGATTTAAAACCTTTGAAAAGGATTATATCATCGTGCAGTTTTATTGGTAAAAGTAAAATCAAAGGAATCTCTATTAGCCCTGGCAATGTTACATTGATAAACAAAATCGTATCCAGTGATGAGAATGTGAGGAGTCGAGGCGATAATGAAGTTAAAGTATTGTACAAGCGAGACTTTAGGCGAAAGGAAAATGCCAAACAGATTATCGCACCAAGAAGATCTGGCACCAAAAATATAGAGACGGACAATAGTCAGACAAGTTTATTCGGTTTCCAACGTTGTATCCAAAGAAAACGTCATATAAATTATAATTTAAGTGTGTTTTATAAGCTTTTACATGGTGATGCGAAACATCACAATGTATTACGTTGTAAACATTACTCTTTCGAAGATTTAAATTTAGATAAACCAAAGAAGAAATCGTCTTTCGTAAAATCTCAGAATGACACTCCTGCTCATTACAATTTAGTAAATTTCACTCAGCACAGTAGTATATCCAACGTGTATCTACTGAAGCCAAAATATTATAAGAAATTACAAAGTTTGCGAAAAAATAAATCTCCCTTCCGTTGTTTGGACCCCGATAAGGGAAAGTCTATTTTGAAAAAGGAGGACGATCTCCATAACACAGATGTGCAATCATTTAAAACTAAAAATAAAGAACAAGAAGTTGATGCTACAGATAACTTGACCTCTAAGCCTCCTTATACGGGGGTAACAGGCGTTAGTATTTGTAAACCAGCTGCAAAGATAAGCAACACATGTTTACAAGTTAAACCCAAAATTAGCACTAGCCGAAAATGCTCCAAAAAATCAGTTGAACTGTTCAATTTTTTGCACGCTGCAATGAAATATCTTCTTTTTATCATGACTTTAATCATATGGTTTCCTTGCATTTTAGTTTTAGGTCTTGGATGGTTAATTTCCTATCCTTGCCGGCCTCATAAAGAATCATGTAGTTCAAAAGGCACTAGAACAAAGAGAAGAAGAAAAAGTATAGCGAAGAAGAAGAAAAGGAAAGATAAACCTCGTCAGCACACTAAAAAAGAAATAAAGTGTAACGTATCCGAGGAGAAGAAGAAACAAAAAGCATCATTAAAGAAAAAGAAACCAGCAACTTCAAATTCCAAGAAAAAGAAAGGCCTAGGCAAAAAATGTTCAAAAACTTGTTCGGACTGCACACAATATACTGTAACGCCCACCGGATTCTATGTTCCTGAAAGTACCACAACTGTAGCGATGTTTCCTAATGAAGAAATCGGTTCATGTATTGGAAAAAAAAGACAAAAAAGTGTGAGCTTTAAACAACCTTGTGGAAGGTCAAGTGAAACCTACTTAAAAATAAGCAAAAATCAAGTCTGTAGTGGGTGTCGGGATAAAAACGAACAGTCAATCGACATCTGTGATGATACGAACGAAGACGAAGAAGATTTGGATCATAAATCTGATTTTAATAATCAATGTCAAGCTATTGTAATCAAAAGTTGTAAAGGTAAACGCAATCGAAGAAAAGTTGAGGTGTGTGTACCGAAATCTTTATCAAAATTACTTCAATCAGCTCTTCGTGGAAGTTGTTCGACTACAAATCAATTTGCAAATGTTCGTAAATTGCCTAAAATCAAAAGTTGCAATAGCACAGCGGCGGCATGCATTGCCTTCAAGAAAAAAAGGAAATGCTTAAGTCGACAGTCTAAATACATTATGCACAATTTGAAAAAAAATCTAGAAGTTTCCCGATCATCAGTCACAAGATGTCTTCCATCACCATGTCCAGGTGGCTGTGCTGCTAAAGCTGCTCGTAGACAGGCCGCTATAGCTGCTCGTAGACAGGCCGCTGGAGGAGGCGATGGTAAAAAACGCAAGAAAATTAAACAGTCGAGAAAAAAAAGAAAATGCCGGAAACCAAAAACTGTTATGAAATTCCTACCACCACCGCCTCGCAAGAGTTGTTCTGTAGGCAGTAATATTTCTTTACCTCAACGTACTTCAAAAACTAAATCACTACGACGTTGCAATCGCATGACTTGTGATAGACAACCATTAAAAGTTGTATCTGTGAGCAAGATGTATGCTCCTGTTCGTCCAGAAGTACGTACAATATCAAGTAATACCATGATGTTACAAACTTCTAGTTTTTTTAAATCGCTTAAAAAAAAGTGTGGTAAGAAACGTGAGAAACGTATATCTGTTAAGAAATTTATTACAGTGCCTTGTCCGAAAAATCGTCACTTCTCTAGTAACACTCGATTAGAAAAACCTAAAAAACCACGCAAGTCTACTACCGTCGTGAAATTCTTTCCTCTGCCACATCATCGTTTAGTTCATTCATCTGTTAACACCAGAAAACTAAAGTTACCATCATCGTGCAAAAAAGTAAAATCTAAATCTAGCTCTGCTTGTTTGTCACCACCAAGTAAGGTAATAAATTTTTTCCCAAAACCCTGTTCAAGCACTATAGCCTGTAGTACTTGTGAAATAATATTACCTATAGAGCCATTAGAAAAACAGCCAAAACAGCCAAAGAAGAAGAAGCCTCCACCTCCAAAAGATGATTGCAACGCAGTAGGCCTAATGTTAGAAGGTCGAAAATCTTATGATAAAAGACATTCACAGGAAATGTTAGCAAAAAAACCCGCCCGAATTTGTAAATTTTTCCCAGCCCCACGATGTAGTACTCGAACATTAGCTGTTGGAGCATGTATTAAAGACGAAATAAAACTACCTAGTAAGTCTAGCAAGTCAACGTCTTTTCCACAAAAGACATTATTTAGGTCTCTTTCTGTTACAACAGGCACAAACACATGTAGTGCCGCTCCAACACAAATTATAAAATATATAAAAAGTCATAAGACTATTATGCATCGCGGTACAGTGCCCCAAAAATTTAAGGGAGACATATTTTCAAAAACCGACCCAAAACATGCAGATAAATCAAAAAATCTAAAAAAACCTGAGAAATCTGGTAGTACAACAGGAAAGCAACCATGTGTTCCACCAGGAACGAAACGCGGCACAACACCAGGAAATAAACCTGATACTAAACCAGGCACGAAACAAAGTCACGAAGGAGGAAGCCTAAAAAAACGCAGTACAGGGTTTAGTACAAAACCCATTCAGACAAGATCCAGAAAAGTAATGTTACAAACCACCTATCCAGTCATCAGGTTTCAACCAAGGTCACAGGTTGTGACATGTACCCGTGGAGTTAATACGAGAAAAGCCGAATGGTGTTTCATAACTGGATACCGAAGATTTCAACAAAAGAGGAAAATAAGAAAATTACGTAAGGCAGCTGATGAGCAGCGCAAAATCTTGATTTGTAAGAAGTCAGGTAAAAGTCCTGGAACGTCTCAATCTTCTCGGAGTTCACCTCGAAGTTTAACTGCTAGTCCAACTCCAGGCTCGTCCCAAAGTGCATTGCAAGCTAAGAAACGTGCGGAACGGGCAAAGCAACTGGCCAAAGAAAAATCTAAAAGTAAAAGTAAGGCTGAGACATTGGCAAAACAAAAGAAGGAACGAGATAAGGCACTTGCTAAGCAAAAAGCTAAACAGCGTGCTGAGGCACAAGCTAAACAGAAAGCTAAACGACGAGATTCAACAGCCTCTGCCGCAAAAGAGAAAGCGAAGAAAGAAGAGCAAAGTAAGGCACAGTCTAAACAAAAAGCTAAAGAACGTGCTAAGGCATTAGCTAAGCAAAAGGCTAAAAATCGAGCTAAGGCATTGAAAGCTCGAGATAAAAAACGCAAGGCAAAAAGTAAAAAGAAAGGAAAAAAGGCCTTTAAAAAAAATGCTGGAAAAGTTTTCAAGCAACTGACACCATCTGGTTATAATGTAAAATGTGAAGACATAATTGCTAAACCGAATAGACCTTGTAAATTTATTTATGACATTTGGCCCTCTGCCTACCCAGCATTTTTGGTTTTGTATAAAATGTACAACAGTGTTTGTCATCTTTTTTTCTTTGTACTTGCATGTTGTATATGGAGCCCACTTTTTTGTTGGTGTTTTATATTTTACTTCTTAATAATTAAAAGAATGTTTTGTTAATGGAAAGTTTCACTACTAAAACTATCCTCTAAAAATCTTATAGGACAAAATCGCTTTTCGTGACCTCTATGTGTTTTTTGTGTTCTGTTAAGCCACGAAACAAATGAAAATACTAAAATATAATTACCAGAAATTTTTCCGAGCTAGCTAAATTTTACCAGGACTTTTACGGGATGGTAACTAATTTGTGTGGGCATATAAAAATATACGCTGACAAACTCGATGGCGATCGCTAACTCCGAAACGGTTGGGCCAATCTTGACGGAATAGATGATGCACGCGGGAATATTTATAGGCTATAATCTGACCGGAAAAATAAAACTCGCGCCATATTGCCGAAAAATAAGTAACTTTATTTCAGAACTTTACAAAGTGTAAAAAGCCGATTGAAGCATTCCAGGTCAAGATTTTTGTATTCTTGGTTAGACTATACTTTATATATGATTCCGCGCCGACAGAGTGAAACGACGATGGATTTACTACGAAGTAGTTACATACTCTTTGATGGACTCCTTCAAGTTATTAGATTAGACACTGACGTACTCACTTTTGCAAATTAATAAATTTACAAATTGTGACCTTTATTTGATAATTTTATGAATTTGTTACATTTCGATGACATCTTTGGCATTAAAAATAAATCGTGCAAGAAGAACATCTTATTTAAACCCGTCGAGCAATGGACGGGGATACTGGAAAGTTACATGATTTACGTAACGTCAAATATAAAGTTGAACATGAAAGAGGAAGTTTTGCCGGAATCCGTTTTAACCGTACTAAATCGAAGTATCGAGAGAAAAAGAAACAAAATCTTAGCAGAGAGACTGAAGAAGATGCAAATGTTATTACAAAAAGTGATTTGGCCTATGTCTCTGTAAAGATTGACCAAAAATCAAGCGTTGAATCAAAACAATACACAAGTAAGATATGAGTAGCACACACTAGTAATTAATATGAATAACGTACTAATTGAATTCCAGTAATAATTTTTTCAACCTTTAATTAACGTAAATAGCAAAGAATTGTGGTACATTCAAGTGCAATTTAAGAAAAGTAGATTAGTTTCTATATTTTTCTTAATTCACTTTTCACTAAAAGGTTAGGATTTCCCATATGTAGCGCCATAAAAAAGTATTTGGCTAAAATTTAAAGGACGATTCACTGTTTTTTATTTTTCTTGAAATAAGTATCGGTAGTAATTTAAATAAAAATCAGTGTTTGTATGGTTGTTCTTTGTTTAGAAGAGATAAAAGAAAAAATATTTTAGGCTATATGGTGTGTGGTCCAGGTGCCGACTAGTCTTAGTTAGTACTATAAAAATAATGCTCACTGATTAAAATAAGTCCATAAAGTAAGTACATGTTTTTCAGAATGTGCACGACGGAAAGATTTCACTGGAAAGACGTCTATTGATTTTAAGCCTTTTAAAAGTATGTTATCATCGTTTAGTTTTGTGGGCAAAGATAGAATAAAAGAAATAACATCTATTGATTCCCATACCGAAACGGTGGTGAACGAACAGAAAACATATGATTTAAATTTAAATCGTCGAGTTAATAATGAGGTTAAAGTATTATACGAGCGTGACATAAACGAAGAAGTGAAAGAACAGAATATTTCACGGACAAAATCTGGTAGTAAAAGTAGGCGCACTAAAAATAGTCAGATAAGTTTATTTGGTTTCCAACGTTGTATCCAGCGAAAACGTCAATTAAACTATAATTTAAATGTATTTTATAAGTTCTTACAAAGTGATGCAAAACGCGACAAATGTTTATGCTGTAAACATTACTCTTTTGAAGATGTTAATCCAGAAAAACCTAAAAAGAAATCGTCTTTTGTTAAATCTCAGAGTGACAATCCTACGGCACCTAATTTGCTTAAAGTGACAGAACGAACTACTGTGTCTAACATATATCTATTGAAGCCAAAAGATGCTAAGACCACTGACAGTGTAAAAAAAATTGAAATTCCCTGCAGTTGTTTGGAACTAGATAAACGAAAGTCTATTTTGAAAAAAGGCGATGGTTTTGATAACATTACTGTGCAGACAATGAAAACTAAAAGTAAAGAAAAAAACATTGCTACCGCTGATCATTTGAAGACGAGACCTTTTTCCGGAGGACCGACTGCTGTTAATGTTTGTAAGCCTACGAGGATATGTAAGAAATGGATAAAAGTCGAACCCAAAGTCTGTGATAACTGCAAACAATCTAAATCTACTGGCATATTTAATTTATTTTGTGCCGCAATCAAATATTTTCTTTTTATTACGATTGTTATTATATGGCTACCTTGCATTTTAGTTTTAGGCCTTGTATGGTTAATTACTTATCCCTTTCGACCTCATCAGGACCCAAAGGGTGAAACTAAAAGGAAAACAACTAAGAAATCTCTTCAAAAACCTCCAAAAAATATAAAGGAAATAAAGTGCGCTTACTGTAAGAACAAAAAGAAGTGTTATGCGTTATTGAGAAAAAATAAAGCGACTTCTTCTAAAACTAATAAAAAGAAAATGAAAGGTACAAATTGTCAGAAAAACTTCTCAAAATGTACACAGTACACGACGACGACAGCAACTAAATTGCGTCTTCCTGAGAGTGCCACAACTATAATGGTATTACCATGTGAAGGAGCCACATCATCTCTTGTTGGAAAGAAAAGACATAAAAGTGTGACATTTAAACAGTCTAGTAAAAACAGAGGTACAGAAACTACTTCAAATGCAAGTAAAAGTAAACAAACGACCTGCAGTGGATGTTGGAAGAAAAAAGGTAGCACTCAAAAATCTGTCACCCAGAGTTTAGATAAGAATCAAGCTAAACAAGATACGAAGCAAAAGCCAAAATTAAATTATAAATGTCAAGAAATTATAATCAAAAGTTGTCAAGGGATAAAAAGTCAAAATCAGAAGGTTGAGGTTTGTGCGCCAAAATCTTTATCTAAAGTACTCCAGACGGCTTTAAGTGGAGTATGTTCAAATAATAATGAATTTGCAAGTATTCCTGCATTACCTAAGAATAAAAGTTGTAACAATCTCGATAATAAATGCGTTAAGTGCACGAAAAAAAGGAAATTCTCCAATCGTTGGTGTTCAACCACAACACCCACTAAACATATGGCAGTGTCTACGACGTCTGTTATACAGTGTGTTCCTTCGCCTTGTCCTGGTAGTTGTGCTTACACTCAAGCTGTAAACATACAGGACGCTAAAGGAGATAAATGTGAAAAAAGTCGGACCACGATGATAAAATTCTTTCCGCCACCGCGTTGTAAGACAAATACTGTAGGCAGTGGCATCAATCTACGTGTATGTAATTCTTCTAAATCTACGCTGGCTCCTTTCTCATCTTGTTGTAATCGTAATATCTGCGGTAAAAAATCATTTAAAATTATCTCTGTGAACAAGTTGTTCCCATCCCTTCGACCATGTTTACGAACGGTATCAAGTAATACCATAAAACCAAAAACTTCTTCCATTTCTAAATCAAAAGAAAGAAAGCAAGACGACGATGTGGGACGAAAAGAACCGAAGGTTAAGAAAGTTGAAAAACAAAAAGAAAAGGACGCCAAAAAATGTGGAAAAGAAGAAGTGAAGAACATTAAGAAACGTGAGAAAGAAGAAAAGAAGGCTAAAAGCCCTGACAAAGAAAAAGAGAAGTCTGTTAAGAATCGTGAGAAAGAAGAGAAGAAGGCTAAGAGTCCTGACAAAGAAAAAGAGAAGTCTGTTAAGAAACGTGAGAAAGAAGAGAAGAAGGCTAAAAGCTCTGACAAAGAAAAAGAGAAGTCTGTTAAGAAACGTGAGAAAGAAGAGAAGAAGGCTAAAAATCCTGACAAAGAAAAAGAGAAGTCTGTTAAGAAACGTGAGAAAGAAGAGAAGAAGGCTAAAAATCCTGACAAAGAAAAAGAGAAGTCTGTTAAGAAGCGTGAGAAAGAAGTGAAGAAGGCTAAAAGTCCTGACAAAGCAAAAGAGAAGTCTGTTAAAAAAGATGAAAAGAAGGCTAAAAGCCCTGACAAAGAAAAAGAGAAGTCTGTTAAGAAACGTGAGAAAGAAGAGAAGAAGGCTAAGAGTCCTGAAAAAGAAAAAGAGAAGTCTGTTAAGAAACGTGAGAAAGAAGAGAAGAAGGCTAAAAGCCCTGATAAAGAAAAAGAGAAGTCTGTTAAGAAACGTGAGAAAGAAGAGAAGAAGGCTAAAAATCCTGATAAAGAAAAAGAGAAGTCTGTTAAGAAGCGTGAGAAAGAAGAGAAGAAGGCTAAAAATCTTGACAAAGAAAAAGAGAAGTCTGTTAAAAAACGTGAGAAGGAACAAAAAAAAGCTAAAAATTCTGATAAAGAAAAAGGAAATCCAGGTAAAAAAGGTGCCAAGGAAGAGAAGAAAGTTAATAATCCTGGAAAAGAAAAAGGGAATCCCGGTAAGAAAAGTGCGAAAGAAGAGAACAAAGTTAACAATCCTGGCAAAGAAAAGGGGAATCCTGGTAAGAAAAGTGCGAAAGAAGAGAAGAAAGCTAACAATCCTGGCAAGGAAAAAGGGAATCCTGGTAACAAAAGTGCGAAAGTAGAGAAGAAAGTTAGCAACCCTAGCACAGAAAAAGGAAATCTCGTTAAGAAAAATGCGAAAGAAGAGAAGAGAGTTAACAATCCTAGAAAAGAAGAGCAGAAGAACGTTAAGAAATATGATAAACCTTTTTATGTGAAAAAATATTTACCAGCACCTACTCCGATAGGTAGACATATGTCTAGCAACACTGATGTTGAGATGTCTTCAGAAAATCTGAATACTGAATCTCCGAAATCCAATACTGTCGTAAAATATATTCCTCCGCCTTACGAGCGTACAGTAACTTCAGGTGTCAATACAAGTAATCCCCAATCTCCATCAACAGGCAAATTCAAATCTAAATCTAGCTCTGCGTGCTTCACCACAGCAACTAAAATATTAAAATTTTTTCCAAAACCCCGCTCGTATTCTGTTGGAAGTATTACAACTGAAGTCAAATTACCTTTAAAACCATTAAAGAAACAAAAGGCAAAAAAGAAAACTCCCTCTGAAAAAGGGAAACCTGTTTGTAAACCACCCGGCCTATTGTTGCAGGACCGTAAGTCTTTTGCTAGAAGACGTTCACAGGAAATGAAAGCCGGCAAACCCGTCCATATTCATAAATTTTTTCCAAGTCCAATACCTTGTACTCGGTCAATATCTATTGGTGCCCGTCTTCAGGATGAAGTAAAAATACCTCGCAAATCTAGCAAATCTACGACTTTTCCGCAAAAACCTTTTTTTCGATCCCTTACGGCTACAATGGCTACTAATACATGTAGCGTAGGTCCTACACGAATTTTTAAATATATTAAAAGTAAAAAGTCTTTTATAACTCGCGGCACAGTTCCGCAAAAATTTAAGGAAGAAAAAGTTTCGAAATCAGATACAAGTATAAAAAAGAGTGTGGACAAAACGAGTAAAAAAGGAAAGAAGCCTGTGAAACCTACTAAACGAAAAAAGAAAAAGAAACGACCTAGCAGAGTCAGATTTTTTGTTAGAGGTAAAAGCATAGGAAAACGTAGCACTGGCAGCAACACAAGACGTATTTACACAAAATCTAGAGAAGTTATGTTAAAACCGACAGGCCCACTAATTAGATTTTTTCTCCCTAAAAAACCTTTGACAAGTACCCGGGGAGTCAATCCAAGAAAAGAGAAATTTTGTTTTATGAGGGAACTTCGTGGTTTTCCAAAAAAACAAATATGTAAATATCGCAAGACTTCTGTAATAATACCCAAAAAAATCGTAATATATAAGAGGCCAGATCAAAGTCCTGAATCGTCACCATCTTCTCGGTCAGCAGCAGATCTCACAACCGCCTCTTCTAGAAGTAAATCGGAGGGTAAGCAGCAAGCTAAGGATGGTAAGAAGCAAGCTAAGGATGGTAAGAAGCAAGCTAAGAAGCAAGCTAAAGAGCGAGCTAAGCAGCGAGCGGATAGTGTTAAACAACGAGCTAAGGAGAAAGCGAAGGAAAAAGATATGGAAAAAGATAAAGATCGAGCAACGGCACTAGCTATCAAGGAACAAAAAGCACGAGCTAAGGATCAAGCTAAGCAAAGAGCAGATGAACGTGCTGACGCAATAGCTAAACAGAAAGCTGAATTTAGAGCTCAGGACCTTAAAGCTCAAGAAGAAATGAGAAGACTACAAAGGAAGAACCGCGAAAAGGCACGTAAACGCAAACCTAAATTGACGTTCAAACAAAATGCTGGACTCTTCCTAAAGCAACTAAAACCGGTATATTATAACATAGAATGTCAAGATTTAATATCGAGAGGACCGAAACCGTGCAAGCTTATTTATGACCTTTGGCCCTCTGCTTACCCTGCGTTTATGGTTTTGTATAAAATGTATAACAATGTTATGCGCCTTTTTTTCTTTTTTCTTGCATGTTGTGTTTGGAGTCCACTTTTTTGTTGGTGTTTTGTTTTTTACTTTTTTATAATAAAAAGACTACTTTGCTGATATTGATTTTAATACATGCTATACTGTCGTTAATTCGCCAACCGTAGTTACATTTTATGTCATAAGTTCAGCTAGGGGCTTAAATCTACTAGAGATTTTCACCCTGCGCAGAAAATCACCATGTCATCAGAAGACAGTGTACCTTCCCGAAACTGAAATATTTCAAATCGATAGTAGTTCAGAGCCTATTCAATGAAAATTAAAAAAAAAAAGTTTCTCCTCTTTATTATTAGTACAGTTAAATAACAAACGAAAGCCTTGGTGTCTTGGCGTGTAAGTTGGACATAAAATTGGTGCATTGCAAACATTTGATGTAGTATATATTAGGTAAACCACTACAAATGCCTAACGCTCTTACAGAAAGTATAGCGCACGCTTATTTATATTATAATTTATTAATTGATGTCACCGCTTCCCATGGACATCAATAATAATGTAGAGAATCGACTGATTGTCTTAGAGGAAGTTATTAATATCATATGAGGATGAAAGTGATGAAAGCTTAATCATAAGCATCAATACCAAGCTGGTGTTTTACAAATTATGCTGTGTAAAGTATAATATAAAGGCTACACTACAAAGAAGTCATTATTTGCCAATTCTAACTCTACTCTTCTTTGCCATAGATCAATAATATTCCTATCGCTTTCAAATGTCACCTTACATATTTGTGAGTCAAAAACACAGATATTTTAATGTCAATGTCAAACGGAATTATAAAATGTTGGGGTAAATTGGACATGAACGAATTTTGAACTACAAATTTTGTTTAATATACTATTTGTAGTTACGTTACAACTTAAAGCTATAAAAGTAATCAGGGTTTTTTCGTTCTTTGTTAACCGAATGAATCTGCTATTTTTAATATCCTCATAAATCTATATTTTAATAGAATTAACATTTAGCCATGTCTGATAAACGATCACGACAAACCGGAGATCTGGCTTCATTAGAACCTGCTGTGAGGGTTAAACAGTTAGCACACTACGGGACCATGGTTGAAGTTGACGCTAATGTACCACCAAGAAGGTAATATATCAAAATTGCTTTCTTTATCCAATATCTTGTTTGTTGTATTTGTTATGTTAGGGACATCAATAACTGCAAAAATATTAAGAAAGAGTTAGGGAAGTATTAGGATCTGTGGCACCTCAATTATCAAATTAAACATAACAATACCTGTTCTTTAACAGAACAATTTCTGTAAAGCTGATGCAATACAGCTAAGAATACACAAAATGTTTAAATGGCAACAAAGATTTAAGGCGCATATATTTATAAGTGATTAAATTTTAACATATAATTAAGCTTTTAACATACATTTTTCTTTTTTAGGTATTACAGATCTGGTTTAGAAATGGTAAGGATGGCTAATGTGTACTTGGCCGAGGGCAGCCTTGAAAATGCCTATATATTGTATATGAAGTTTATGACCCTATTTCTGGAAAAGATAAGGAAACATCCAGAATATAATACTGTACCCGCAGATGTGCGCTTGGTCAATCAAGTGAAATTAAAAGAAGTAATGCCTAAAGCAGAGAAATTAAAACAAAAACTTCTTGAACAGTATACAAAAGAACATGAGCTATATAAGGAAAATGAGGTAAATATTAAAAAATAATCTAATTTTTTGAAGATTATGGTTCCTAGAGGTATAGATTACTAGGCTTCTTTGCCAAGTAACGTAAAAAAAGTTACATCTAATATAGAGATCCTTTTCATTAAAATTTTAAATGTTGCATTGTTTGAATATGGGTGAATCATTGATGGAGATATCCTGCGGATATTCACCAAAGTTTCGATCCCTAAAAGCTGTTTTTTCTTATGTTAAATTTCTAAATAAAATTAATTACTCATATGTTTGTCTTTAATGCAAATTGATGGCATAAATATCATATTATGTATTAATATAGCCTTTGAATATATGTTTACAGAAGAAAAGACTTATTATGGAAGAAGCAAGAAAAAAGCAGGAATTAGAAGATGCTAAGCTTGCTGAGCGTCTTCAGGCAGATGAGAACAGTCAGGATGGAAGCACCACAACACCACACTTGATGCATGCGGTAATTTACTTATATTAATTTTTTATCTATTTTGTTAGACAAATGTATGTATATGTCAAGTTTACAGCCAATATTCAAACAATGAAGGGTACAAAGTACTAATATCATAAGTAGATGCTTACAAGACAAAACTTGAAAAAGTAACGTAAAAGACACTACCAAAATCTCCATTTCTTCCTAAAGTATACTTCGGATTTTAATAGAAATTAGTAATTATAGCAAAACTGTGGCTTATGACATTGTATGTAGGGGTCATCTGTATTAAATTAGATTTACTACCAATATGTAACAATTTGTAGAATATGTTTTGGTTTTCATTGTCCTGTCTGTTATATGTTTGTTATGTACTCTATAAAAACATGTAAGGACATATGTTTCAGGACGAGTGGGCGGTGACCCCGACGGCACCGCCTGTGGACGGCGTGCTTTACCCAGACGACTTCGCTTCGGAGCCCCCGCGCCCCGCACACCGCTACTCCCCCGTACCACCCCTCATACCACCATCTAGACCGCACCAGTAATTATCAACAAAGACTATTTGTTATTTTAATTTATTTCTGTTGAAAAAATTTAATACAGATTGTGTTCATGAATGTTTCACTAAGTTTACTTTGTGTATTTGTTTTCCAGTGAGACTGAGGAGACGCTGCCGTCATGGTCGGGTCGGCGGTTGCGCGCGGTTCTAGTACCCGGGTCTCTAATGGCGCGCTTCCAGTCCATCGCCGCACCGCACACCGCGCGCAACCTCGAGCTCTGCGGTATACTCGCTGGCATCCTGGTACTTCACTGTATACTTTTAACTTATGATCGCTTAGTAGTCGAAATTAAATTTTTCTTTTTTCTTTAGATATTTTTATCCATAAAAACAGAATTCGAGTCTTTTACAACAACAAAACTTGCTAAAAATATTTTTTTATCACTCCTGGTTTGTTGTTTTTGTTTCTGAAAAGGTCTTCACTTTATTTTTTATCTGTCAGGAGCGTGATCAGTTGAAGATTACTCATGTGATAGTGCCGAAGCAAACAGGCACCGCGGACTCGTGCAGCACCAACAACGAGGAGGAGATATTCCACTACCAGGATCAACATAACCTGATCACACTCGGCTGGATACATGTCAGTATATTGTCTCTATTTTTTCAATCAGAATGCGAGGGACAACAATATGTTTAGAAATAGTAGTTTTGACAGTGGAAACCAACTATTAATTGTATTTTAACGAATTGCAGACCCATCCGACACAAACAGCGTTCCTATCGTCAGTTGACTTGCATACACAGTGCTCCTACCAGCTTATGATGCCCGAAGCAATTGCCATAGTCTGCGCGCCCAAATATAACGAGTACGTATTACATTAAATAAAAATAATTTACAGAAATAATTTTGTATATTTTATAAGAGTTTTTGTTATAAACAATAAAATTTATTGTTCTTTTGTAGAATTGGATACTTTGCACTGACGCCAGAGTACGGGATGCAGTTTATTGCAAATTGCAGACAAAGCGGTTTCCATCCTCATCCAAATGACCCGCCTTTATTCTATGTAAGTACTGAGGTTCGGGCAGGAAACATTTTGTAGGTAACTTAGCTAAATTTCGTATCGACAAAGACGCTATGAAATTCAACGAAATTCCCCTCAAATGATATTTTTATATGGTCCAACATAAGAACCAACATTAAGCTGATTTTGAGTGTTTATTCATAGTCTTAAGGTTCCTTTTCGGTTGTACTGCATATTGTACTTTTTTCAGGATGTGACGCACATACGTCTTGACAACAATGCTGCAGTAGAAATGATAGATCTGCGGAGATGAATGTAACACATTGCTACAGTCTTGCATTTAACAATCAATGTTCAGCTTTAGGTAAAAAGATGTTCCAATCTATTAGTCACACTACCAATGTTATGTTCTCCTAGTACTTGTGTCTGAGTATGAAGTTATTTATTTTGAATATATATTAAATGTTTATTTAATTTTTACACTATGTGATTATAAATATACTCATAAAATAAATATATTGAACCTTGAATTGTAAAGTGAATCAAAGATTTTGTTTTTTACAATGCGAATTAATGACATGTGTTGTTAATAGCTTTTGATACGTTAAAATTCTTGAAAATATTTTATGAGCTTAATATTTCAAATTTTGAAAAACATTTGTGATAATCACATTATATACCAAACATGTGATATATATGAGTATTAATTTTAAAAAAGCAAAATAAAATTTTGTTTCAACATGATATGACCGGAAATTATATTACTGTTAAAATATGTAATAAAATAATAAACATATTCTGGTCAAATTTAAGTATTAATAAAATTGTTGATCTGTAAATCTATTATATATCAACATATTTAAGAAATCCAACTATTTTAAAACTAACCTCATTAAATGTTAAAGCATTAAACACCAAAGCAATTTTACATTTTTGATGACACAGTTTGATTAATTGTCGGTTTCTGAGACCAAAACCCCCTTTAAAAATATTATCTTTGCTATGTCAAAGATGAGGATAATGTCAGGTATGACGATATGTTTTATATAGAGATTTTTGTTTTAGAAACCCAATTATTCTAGATCTGTTAAAAAAATGCAATTGCTAATCAAAAGTTACCGAGTTTTCATTTTATTCCTTAAACAATTAACTAATGATGATATAATTTAATTGCGTATTTTTGCTGCAAAAACAATTGAACAAAAACATAGTCATCTCTTTTGTTCTCTTTGAAAAAAAATAGACAATTGTGTTGTTTTGAACCCTAAAGGCATTGGAAAAACAAGTGGTTAAGAAAATCCATTAAACTAAAAACAGTATTATTAAAAGTCGAATATCTAGTATGTCTGTACGTAATGTTGTTAAATAAAATTCTATTTGTTTGTTATATTAAAATTGATTTTAGCAGTTTTTTTTTGCTAAAAACTAATAACTATTTAAAATGTTTAATTTGTTGCAAAATGTAACCATTTTTTTTAAATTTAATATTTATGCATAATTTTTTGTGACACTTCTTTTGTACCTATATTCTATGATCTAGGAAATGGTTTGGATTTTTTTTATCAAACAACTTTAAAGCTGTTTTCGTAAAAACCTTTTAGCATCAGTTATATAAAATAATTGCGTTAATCATGCACTGTATAATAGTTTTGTGTGATCAAATGGACCAATGTAAATAAAACTTTATTTATAACCTCAAAGAGTTTATTTTTTACTGCACAATGGATATGTTGTGGAATAAGCTATTTGTGAACGACAAAAAACTTGTGAGATTAGAAATAGATTACATCTATACCTTATAATTATGATAATATTAATCTAAAGTGAAGATTTAAACAATAAATAGCTAAAAATTATACATCTCTATGATATACATCTAATTTTAAACATACCTTGGCAGTGCTAAATATTAAGCTACTAATATATTTTATCCATTACAACTCTAGATGCAAGTTAATCGTATCAATTTTCCCAAATTCGAGAAAATATAGTGTCACAAATTATATATAAAATAAACTTTAACCTAAAAAAAATGTTTAATAAAACACAATATTGTACGTTTTGTGGTTATAAAATTATTAATTTGTGTGCTTAAAAATGATACGACTCACTACTAATTACATTATTAAACTTTACTAAAACCTAAGTAAAATTAAAAAACATTAGAAAATAGGTTGTATTCGATTTACTTTTTATTTAAATATTAAAATGTTAATGACAACACTGGGAAAATTTACCATAAACAAGGTCACTGGCATCCGGAGTCCTAACTCGACTCACTTTTGAAATCCGAACACTCCATCTAGAGGTATATCTATGATTTTAATGTTATAATATTTTAACAGTTATAAACATTTACTTGTATAAGCTTACAAAAGGAATAAACCTTTGGCTTCTATCTATAAGCGATAACTCAATTTCTACTCTAAAATACACTAATTTTACTACCATAATAATACTAAGAATTTTTACATACTACAGTTTAATAAGGCACTTTGTGCTTGACATTGCTCATCATTTATTTTATTATAGCTTAATATATATTACTACTTAATAGTACTAAAATAATAACCCTAAAGAATTCAACATTTACAGAATATAATCAAGTTGCCAGTACAAACCACCGCTTGACACTTGACCTAGCGTTTAGTGACGATGTGGCAGAAAGATGGTGGAACGAACTTATAATATGTAACATTTAAAACAAATTAACTTTATTAAAACCGGGGGTCTCCGAGACCAAAATCCCGGTTTAAAACATATTGTTATCTCTATTTTCCCAAGAATAATGATAGGGATGACGATATGTTTTGTACAGAGATTTTGATGTTTGAAATCAACGGTTAATTTATTAAAAATCTATATTAACTTTCATAAACTTTCATAGACTTTAAAAACAATGTAATTATTGCTTTATTCGTAGCTATTAAATGCATACTCTAAAATTACAATACACAATATCTCATAAATTACAATAATAAAAAGTTTTTTATTATTTTTTACCTACTCCTATCCTATTTGTGAAAAGTGCAAATTTATACTACGCGAAAAAGTGGAGTATTTCATTTAAAACATTGTACAAAGGCACTGATTTATTTTGTTACTTTGTTAATATTTTTTTATTAAAGACACAAAATTTTAATTTAAATAGACTTTACGCTTAAAAAAATTTTTGCTAATAAATTCTCGCAGTGATTACGAAATAAGAACGTTATAGCATCGGAGGTGACTTTTCTTAATAATATTCTAAATATCGTGAGAAGGTTCCTGTCTCTGCAGCCCTGACCACTGGTTGTTTGAGTCATGGGATTCCGCAGCCGGTGGTGTTCTCTTTTTAATATAATATGTTTTGTATATTTTTATTTTTTTTGGATGTATTATATTAGAAATATGATAAATAAATGTATATGAAGTTCATCTTCTAAATATTACTATTACAAAATTACGGTTTTTAACTTATGCTAACAATTATTATTTCAATCATTGTTTTATTACTAAATCTTAATTTACCTAACATAGGTGCAATTGAAGCATAATATAATAAAAGAATTAAACATATTCTTTTTAATATTTATGTACTTCTATTCATCTATAAATTATTTATATTATCTATGTTTTTTCGCGCCCGTTAAATTTCAAAATGTCATTATTCGGGAATTTATAATCTATATGTCATTAATCGATATTCGAAATAACCTTTTTGCAAAAAAATATAAATATTGTTATGTTTAGTACAAATTTAGATAATTCATGATCAGTTGGAAAAGAAAATGCAGTTTCGTCTTTTTAAGAATAAGGACAAGGTAAGTCGTTGTATTTACATGCAAATTAACATAAATCGATTGTATAGGTATTGTTTCTTCAATAATTTCTTTTCTAACAAATATATTTATGCTTAAAACTTAATAATCGTAGTAAGCATTATTAAGCAAGAAAACAGGGTAGTTATCTCTCGTTTATTGGCAGAGCTGGTCATTTTCCTGGCTTTAGAAGGTGGCTCGATGTGTATGGTCTTGTTCATCATCCAGTAGTAGACGTCTGTGAGTCCTTGGTCGTTGAGTTCCGGACCAACCGTCTTACGAATGCGTTCGTTGTATGCATTCAACCAGTTTATCTGTTAAGATTTAATTTGCTTGTACTCTTTGACTAAATATCATAAAAAGATGTATCATACATACGTAAGTTTGTCCAACAATTTATTTAGAAAGATACAATAATCAAATTTACCTCATATTCTGTCAACAAGTTTCTATCGATCAGTTTTGGTTCGTACGGCAACAGCGTCGCTTCTCGGAAACCCAAGTATGCATTAGATTTGGCAACTACTTCCAACACATTCCCAAGCCTAATACCGAACTTCCTTGGCTCGTACCAGGCTGGCTCTAAAAGTACAAGGTAAGTAATTATTATTTAGTTCTAGGTCTTTAGACGACTAACTTTAAACACTTACCGCTTGTAACGAAATATCCTTCTCTGAAGGTGTGCAAATTCGTGTCTTGTCTATAGTCGATTACCACGGGATCTAGAAATACGAAGCGATTTAATTCTAGAGTATTATATTTCGTTATGCAATCGCTAAGCCAAAGTTGGCAAAGTAAATATAATAATTGATAAATTCATTATCTTTCCCGATATTTTGAAAATAAGAGAGTATACCTTCGCGTCTATTCAACGCTGCTCCGACGCCATGTCCAGTTATAGAGGGATAATCCTGCTTGGCGACCCACAGTGGCGCCCTGGCGACGGGGTCTGCATGTGCGGCGGGCAGTGTGCTCGGCATCTGCAGCATGCTGAAAGCAGCCAGTGAGCGCAGTGTGATGGTATACGCTCGACGCTCGTCGCGCGAAGGAACGCCGTAGTGAACCGTGCGGGTTACGACTGTAGTGCCCTCTGGGAACAAGGAATCACATAAGTTACAGAATCGTAAGTTTTGGCCTTGTCAAGTATTTAGCCTAAGCTACTATATTTAACTAGAAAGACATACATGGGATAGTTAAGTGATTCATTGTCGGTTGGGATAGCCTGAAAAGTTGTAGAGGTTGAGAATTGAATACCAAGAATTTTAAAGATATTTAGAATTAATATTTACCTTACGGAATTAAAAACAACAAAAATATAGGTAGGTAAGATCCACACAGTAGATTGGCTTGTTCATTTAAGTAACACTTTTACTTATTCTCAGTATCAAAGATATGAATGAAATCTTACCATCATACTGCCCTCCTGACTGTATGACCAATGTGGAGTTATGCAGCACTCGGCGGCTGGTGACGTTAGTGGCGCGGTAGTCGGGTTCCGCAGCGCTGGGCCCGAAAGCGACGCGCGTGCGCATTGCTAGACCCACGTATCCCGCCTGCGTCGCCCGCGTCACGTCCACCTTCATTGCCACTGATAGCTCGTTGAGACCAGCCTTGCCCTGGATTATCCAAACATGTAACTATAATAGAATATTAATTATACTCTAGCCTAGCCTTGAGATTGTAATGACCGACTGATTCTATAAAGCAATAAGGCTTACATTCAATTAGTTTAATACCAAATGTGACAGTCTGTTTCATTTCATCGCATTACTTTTTCTGTAAAAGAAGTCTTATTACCGTAGCAAATATAAACTTATTTTGTTCAAAGTGAACACTCACCATACTCTCAATGTAACTCAAAACCGTGCACATCGCGACAGCGTCTCTTAAATGAGCTTTCCTCATTCCCTTGATTTCCGCCTCGTTCTTCTGCGCCTTGAAGTAGATTATAGGAGAAGACTGGAACAATCTCTTGGATTGTGGGACAC